CTGAGATAACTGAAGACACCGTATCACTGAACACGAATTTTAGAATCTAGGAAACGACTGCTCCTATGTTAACATTTAGGAAAAGTCTGTTTTTCTGGCCTTTACAGACAGTATTAGACTTTTCTGTAGGATTCTTGTTTATGCCCTTTTCCCCAAACCCAGGTCAACTCTTTGCCCACATTCAATGAATCCACAAGCAGTAGCTAGAAGATAGATTTTTAAATCTAGTAGGCAAAATACACAATCTTTCAAAAGTTCATTAGGATTTCAAAATATTCTAGTCACAAAAGAAATCTGACAAAAACTTGAACCGCTGCAGTGATCCTAGGTTTACAAGCTGGTACCAACTCCCAGTTCCAGAGGCTTAATGCCCAGCAGTGTGCCAGGAATTGAGTGAACAAAGCTCTTCTTGACGTCTTCCAGTTTCCAGGTCTCTAAGGAGGTGTGTCTCTCCCCAGTAAATCTGGATTGCTTCCATTTCTAAAACAGATTCCCACCTCAGAAGCAAGTCTGCCAGTGTCAGATCAATTATTCTGATTAGTTTAATGGGACAGGTCTTCCATTGGTACTCTGGAAGCAGACAGAAACAAGTATTGGCATTTTCCACATATTGGCATATTCTTGGTTTAGGGGGATTAGAATCTTCTGAGGTTTTTGGAAAGAGGATCCAAGTTCATCTTTATAAAAAATGTTTTAATCCTTGACATCTGGTAGGAACAGCACTTCCTATGAAATACATTGAGGGTTTGCTGCCAGTGTGGAGAATTCCCTTAAGACCAGTCATCTCATAAATAACATCCAAAATCTCAAAAGGCTTCTGAACATGTTACTTGAATATACAACAGGAAACACCAGGACAGCATGGATTAGCCACAACCAAGACATTTCTCAGTGTATAGCTTCCTACTAGAAACTTCTGGAACTTGCATGAAATGGAAGAGAAAGGGAGAAGCCAAGATCCAGCATCTTGACAGACCTCATCATTCTAAATCTCCAGTGTAAGGAGACAAATCAGTCCCTTTATATCTTCACAACCAGAAAGAAGACACACCATCAGAAATACAAGGTCATATACAGTATGCTCCTCCGATGAGGTTGAATAGGGTCTTCCCAAAATCCACATCCATCTGGAACTCTACAAAGCAACCATTTGGAAGTAGGTTCTTTGCAGATATAATTAGTAAGATGAGATCATACTAGATTAGGGAGGTCCCTAAATTCAATACTGCTCTTCTTTAGGGAGAAGAGACAAACATAGAAAAGTCTGCATGAAGACAGAGGCAAAGGTCTGCTGCTACAAGCCAAGTGCCACTCAAAGCTGACAGTAGAGGGAGGATTGTCTTCCAGAGTCTTCCAAGCGAACATGGGCAGAGACACTTCGGTTTTGGACTTCTGGTTTCCAGAATTTCTGAGATAATACATTTCTGTTGCCACCCAGTTTGTGGTAATTTTCTATGGCAGCCCTAGAAGACTCGTATGGCTCAGTACAGATCAATACTGTGCCAATGCTTGCATTTATTGGTTGAGCTGTGTCTGGCCTAGCACCACACACAACCTACAACTAAATCCCACAAAGGAAAAATGTGTGTTGTTTTCCCAAGGATTACAGAAAGATTCTACCAACATTCCTGGGCTGGAAAACAGTAAAAACTGAATGAAGACTGGGACTGTGAAAGTAGCAAAAGGTAATAGTACACTGTCACATGCAAATAAGAGGGACATAGTATTAATTAAAAATATGTATATACAATCTGGAGGAACATATATGAAACAAGTAAAAATGGATGAGTCTGGGAGGGAAGCAGGGGACCTGGGGGTCCTAAGAGTAAGAGAATTATTTTGGCATGTCTTTTTCTACTGTTTGAAAAGTACCTATAATGGTTTCAATTAAGACTTTGGAAGTTATGAAAGCAACTGCTTCCAACTCTACAGGGGGCAAACTTATGGACAGAAGAATTATTTGAGGGGTTGGAGTGCCAGTAACAGAGCATGTACTTAGCATGCACACGGCCCTTAGTTTAATCCTGTGTACACAAACACACACACACACCAAGTCATTCTGTGCAATAGTCTCTGTGTTATTCATATCTTTCTGCTTCTAGCCTGCCATCCCCAATCTCCAATGCAATACATAAGAATGTATATAATCTCAATGATACGCCAAGATTCATATATTCAGCCAGTGACTTTCAATATAATTTACTGCTGCAGATGCACAGGAGGTAGAATATTTCACTCAAAATCTACCAAACAATCATAGCAAGCATTACCAACATACAGTATTGACTATATGTAACACATGGGACCATTCATTCAATTCTCATAACCACCTCACAGCCAAAGTGCCACTTATACATGAAGAGAGAAAGGCACAAAGAATTTTCTCAGGGCCCCACCCTGGTGAACAGCAGGACAAAGGCAGGTGGTCAGGGTACCCTCTTAGTACAGGCAATACAATACCGCCGGCATGCCACCTACAGCAGAATTTGGAAAGACATTAACATGGCATCATTATCTTAAGAGTTATCACTGATGTTGCTCTCAACATGCTACAGTCACAAAACTGAGTCATAAAATGAGTTTCTTGAGGGTATTTTTCTTTTCCTGAATATCTAACGTGCCATATTCTACGTAAATTGACTTACTGTTCATGTCATCTACACAGCCAGCGTTCAGGTACATGAATATCTTAGGATTCTTATTTGCATTGCAGAGTTTCTCAATATTTTCCCAAATAAAAATATTCCGAGGATCAATTTCTAAATGGTGAAATAATTTCCGTAACAAGTAACGAGGTGTGGTGGTGTAAGGCTATAATCACAGCAGAGGCAGGAGGACTGCAGGTTTGAGGCCAGCCTGGGCAACGTCGACGCAGTAAGACTTCAGTCTCCACATAAAACATAAAAAGGGTCAGGGATGTAGCTCAGTCCAAAGTGAAATGGAACTGGGTTCAATCCCCAGTTCTGGGGTAGGATCAGGTGGGGCAGAAGCTAAAGCACCAATACAACTGAAATGTGTATGAAAACACTAAAATGTTAAAGAGGTCAGGGAAAAAGATATCGTATGTACATAATGCTCATAAGTAAAAACATCATGCCAGTTTGGGAAGGAATGTGGAAGTACCTGAAAAGATAAGAATGTTAAAAATAAAATCTGGCTACTAGGTCAGGTACAAACATGATACACAATAACCTTCTGTCTCCTACTGTCACTGGGTTTTGCTGAGAACAAAGTTTTATAAATATTTAGTTGGTTCATCACACAACTAAGCAAATAGGGTTCAATCTAGTTGGACTGAGACTTTGGTTCCATTGGTTTCCTAAAATCTACACCTTAATACTATGCTACAACTATGGTATAGAAATATTAAAGGGCTTCACAAAACTCACTTTACATGCAAGTTTTAAGAGATACTGGCTTTAAAGGAATGCCAAACATTGCTTATTTTTAGAGGAAGACTCTTATAGTCAGGAGATCATTTAAAAGGGCAGTTACAAGTAAATGGATATTTTTAAAAATATAAAATGTACCTCAATAAAGTTGCATTAAAAATAAGTAAGTGGGGAATTTCTGATACTTTCCCCTTTCATTGTTCATCCCCTATGACAAATACTGAGGGCAGGAGGGTACATACCCCAGTGCTCCAGGGAGCACCTGCCTCCTACCTAAGCAGAGCACCATGCTCACTCCTGTCAGCTGCCATGTACAAGGGTGTAGCGAGCGATTTCAGGTCTTTGGGTTTTTCACAAGAAATGGAAAAACAGATTTTGTGAATTAAAACTATATGCCAAAGAATGTACATCTGTAGATCAAATCTGCCCCAAGGCTCCCTTTTTGCAAACTGAGTGGAAGGTGACTTTATCCACACTTAAGTGATCTTTGTGTGTAAGATATGATTTATAACATGAAGTTTAAAAATGTACACTAAAAATACATTTGGAAAACAAAATCTTAGTAAAGGAAACCTTACTGGGCCAAGAAAAGCTTTTGTAATGAATATACTTTAGCTTTGTTTGTGAGTCAAAAAGCATGCAAATTTATAACTATTTCAAAGAAAGTGATATAGCAACCTGGATCTGAAGCAAAGCTCTGGAACCCAAATGCCAACACTCCAAAATAAATTATCAACCCAGGCCAAGGAAGACGCACTGCCTGGCAGAGCCGAGCCCTCCAGGAACTGGCTACTACTGAGAACTGGCTTTCAAAGTCAATGACTGAGCAAGGTTGTTCTTATAATAAAATAATTATTTTAATGAAGTATTTGAAATAATTTTAAACATCTGATCAATAAGATTATACACAAATGTGGGAGTATGCTGCACTTTACAAAAAAATAAAGCTAAGCGTTTAAATATACAAAACAACTTTGAGTATAGATCTCTTCTTAAAGTACTGTATTAACATATACATAATTTATAGCATTTTATATAGTAACTTGCTGAAACAAACAATGTGGCCAGTTTAAATCCTACTACAGTATTTGGCCATAACAGTCCTGATGGGAAGAACAAAATGATGAGTAACATACTTGAGGTGTTTTGTTCCCCTGAATTCCTTTTCTAAGCAGCACAGCATTTCCCATTTTTAAAACCTTCTTGGAGGATTCAAACGTTCTTTTTGTATGCGATTCTAACAACAACTATTACTTTTTGTCAGTTATAAGCCACACAGATAGAATTAAAAAAAAAAAAAAAACCACAGAGGCTCTGCTTTGCACGGCAGCACCTTCCTCAGAGGATCCACATCTCACACCACGCGCTCCTCACACTTGGAGCCGAGAACCCCAGGCTCCGAATCTGACAGTACCTTCAAAGTGTAGAATCCAAAGGGGACTCCTATTGCTTAAAACTTCTAATCACCAATTAGGATTTTTTAAATGTACCAAGATGCTTAAAATTTAAGGTAACTAAAATTTTTTTTTAAAGGAAGAGGAACTGCCCAAACCATCCTTTTTGGAATTTAAAACAATACAAGACAATAAAAAAAAAAAAAAAACTTCCTTTTGAAATAGCACTGTAATTCAAAAATGTTTGATATGCTTTCCTTTTTTGGTGAGGCTATGATTTTTTTCCCATCAACAAAGTGAACACCTGATGTTCTGGGCTCCAACTGCACCCCTTCCTCTTTGGACACGGGCAGCACATACCCTGTGTTATAATTCCATTTTCACTTTTCCCTGCTCAGCTTAAACTCAGTGCCTCACCATTCCTTCTGGAACTTTCTACCTTTTCCACTTCCAACGAGGTATATCTGTGGAAACTTTGATTTGAAGGCTTCCCTGACAAGGATGTCCCCTCGCTTGGTATCAGAAGCAGCACGTGGTGAGAGGAGCCAAAGAACTGGTAACCTCAGGCACAAACTGGCCCATCAGTCTTGTTTTGACAAGCACGGGGCTCATCCCAGCCAGGTCATCAAAGTGGTCTGTCACCTTGAACTATGATGACTATTACGGTTAACTAAGCAACTTGTGATTCCAGCACAGGAAACCTAATGTTCTAAGACAGGCTCAGCTTAGGATGAAGTACATTCTCGTACATTCCTTTCCTCAGTATCTCCACACAGGCTGTGTTGGGCTGCTATCCAGGGAGACACCTCGCTGTTATAGTCAGGCAGAGGAAGCAGGTAGTAACAAGCAGAGCCTTAGCCTGCTGTAAGTAAACACGCAGGAAGCAGCTGCCACTTCTGTGTAAAGTGTGCATCACATAACTGATTGTCAGAAGACAAAGCTGAGTTCTAGTCTGTAAGAACCCCAGGAGATGTACAGTAAGGTTTCACAAAAGCTTATTAATGGTAAACAGTGGTCTTCCATGTTGGTAACTGTTCCCCAGAAACCGAGACTTCAGGACAGTGCAGCAATCCTCTTTTGGTCTTCTTTGGCAGTAAACAAGGCTCTGGACGGTGACAGAGCAGTCACTTCAGAAGGGCACGGTACAGCGCTCGTGAGTACTTCATCTCCCTTTCCTGTTCCATACAGAATATCAAGTCCCTGAGGCAGATTCTCGTGATTCTTGGTCGGAGAAACTGTTTGGTGGCTGTCAGGCTGGATGTTCCACAAGCAAGATTGTCTTTTGATCCCTAAACAGAATGAAAAGAGAAATACTTTAAAAGAGAACTTTTTCATAAAGGAAAAGCCTGTCCAGTGCATGAGAGCCCAGGCAGGTACAGAGATCAGGTTATGTTGAAGACAGCCCTGTCCTCTATCAGCCCGGTGTTCAACCCATCTGCCTGGTACATGGCCTCAGTCATCTCTCCCTGGAGCCCAGCAATGGCCTCTGAACTTAGGAATTTCTCTTACTTTCACGCACTGTCTTGATTACTTTTCTCTCATTGCTGAGACAAAATACCTGACCCTCACAATTAGGGAAGGAAAGATTTATTTAGCTTACAGTTTTTGGAGGATTCAGTCCATAGTCAGCTGGTTCCAAGGCAGGGTGGCACGGTTAAGGGGCACCAGTTCATGGTGGCCGTAGCAGCCTCAATGAACAATGGCAAAAAGAGCAAAGCATGCCTCCTTCCTTCTCTTAAAAAGTATTTCGGCTCTCTACCCCTGGGTGGGCACAGCACTCACCAATCCCAATGCTGGACAGCAAACCCATCACAAACTCTAGATTCAGCTGCTTCTATGTGTGGAGCTTGGAGGACACCGCTGCACAAACTATAACATGCTCCTCACTCCATTTTCCTGCACATTTCAAATCAGACTTTCCACTTTAAAAGATCTTACATAAAACCTTTTTAAAGTGATGGATACATTTTTCATTTTGATAATGGTGATGATTTGATAGGTACATGCACACATAAAAACCTGATCAGACTGTATACTGTAAATGTGTGAGATCTGCTGTATGTCATTAGCAAAACTCAAAATCAAAGACTTGTATGATTCAGTGCTCCCAACTGTCCAGTATAGCTACATGGGAACTTGTGAAATGTTGAGAACTATATTATTCACTTTTTACAAATTATGTCTTTTTCTTTCATACAACATTGCAGTAAGTTATTTGAGTGCTATGTCCATTTATCAAATGAGCAAAGTGAGCTTAGAGAAATGAAGCCATCTGTTCAAGGTTGCATATCAAGGCTGAGTTGGGAATAGATTTCTAATTTGACCTAAATTAAGTGCTGTTAATCACTGTGCTAGATTATTACTCATATCAGGTATAAAATCAACATCCTGGCCGGGCATGGTGCCTCATGCCTGTAATCCCAACACTTGGGAGGCTGAGGCAGGAGGATCGTTGCGAGTTCGAGAGACCAGCCTAAGCTACAAAGTGAGCTCAAGGTCAGCCTGAACTGCATAGAGAGACCCTGTCTCAAAAAGACAAAAAAAAATCAACAACCTGGATTTTTTTTTGGCTTTACTTCTCACGTCTTCTTTACAAAGCATTTTTACTCCAGCCACACTATCCCTCTGCCAAAAGAAGGAGTCATCCCAGGCCACTCTATTTATCTTCTGAGATCCATTTCAAACGGGTCTACTGGCCCCCATCTGAAGAAATTCCCCCTGTGTCAACAGCCTTACACTAGTATGATGGTAATTTATCTGCTTCCACCACTATCACATGTCCACTAGAGCAGAAGCTTTCTGAGGGCAATGATTATTGTTTGTGTCCTGCCAGGGCTTAGTAAAATACAGAAAAAAAAAAACACAAGGCATCAATAAGATTTTCTGAATTGAATTTATGCATTCAAATCCATGTTAGGTCCAAAAGTCATTCATATTTACCATATTTTGCTTCAAAAATTATGTTGGTAGGATTGGCAATTCTCCTTTATCCACTCAAAAGACAGATATGAGAAAAGATGTACGCTTAACACAAATCTTCTGGTTTGTTACTGTTACTATCCTTTTAAAACTATCACATTTTGTTCTCTCTCTTTATATATATTTTTTAAATATAATTTTTAAATGTAGGGAGGGAGATTATGTTTCCAAAACATCAGAGTAAGATACCATGAATTTAATTCCATTCACATCCATATCATGATTTGGGGAAAACTAATTTGGTGGTCAAGTAAATTCTCCTAAAAGATACTTTCCAGTTTTTTTTTCATATTTCTACATTAGTTAGGCTAAACTTGTTTATGAGAATCCATGGAACAAACTAAGGAAAGCTCGGATTTTAGAAAAGGGAAAAGAAGTTGTTCTTGACTGTCCAACTGCTTGGCAACCCATCCTGGAGCTGCCTGGCAGTACAGCGCTTTCTGCAGGATTTTTAGTAAGAATGCAACCTGCACATATCACAGAGAAACCTCTGTGGCCCTAAGGACGGCAGGTGAGCATGTGGGCACGGCACACCTTTCTGCAGAGGTGGTACAACTATAACTTAACTACTATAAGTCTTGTGGGGAGATTTTCACAAGATTTTTTCAAACTGGGTCAACAAATTAGCTTTGAAAAAAATGAACAAAAAGTAAATATTAGAAAGAAAGTAAAACTTGTCATTAGTAGTGAGAAGCAACTGTGTTATTTATAGGAGTTCTCTGTTTAAAATTATAGTACACTTAACTAAGGCATTGTTCTTAAACATAAATTAGACATATTATGCTAAAGCTGACCCTATGTTCAAAAATATTTCCTACAAGATTTGCCTAAGATCAGTAGTTCAGTGCTTCACAACAATTTTTACATTAAATGGCCAGATGGATATTATGTCACAGTAATTTTGTTTTTATGGAACATCCAGAAATATGTATTTTATCAAAAATCATGTACGAGAATGTTTTACGCCACTATTCACAACAGCCATAACTGGAAACAATCCCAGTGCCCATTAACAGCGGGCTGCACTGGGGAATATCACACACTGAAGATATGGCTTAATGGTACTTCACTTGCCTAGCATATGTGAGGGCTCTGGGTTCAACCCCCAGTATCACATACAAGATCCTGGGGAATATACCATGGAATACTGCACAGCAATAACAGGAGGGTAACGTAGCTATGTCAACGAAGTCAAGTGAGAGCACGCAGAAGAGGGGAAGACATACTGACTGATTTCATTTTCATCAAGTCCCCAAACGGTAAAAGCTACAAAAAGGCAAAGCTATAGAAGTGAGCAGAGTGAGTCCCTTGAGAGACAAGTGGAGGCGTTTCTGAAGTTCCCAGAGGTGATTTTCCCTCTGGGTGTGGCCACTGTCTACAGGAGTGTGTTCTCACTATGAGGAGGCCTGTGATCTGTGTATTTTCTCCTTCGATGTTATATCTTGATAAAAATTAAATTGCTTAAAAAAATGCTATCTCCTTAGGAAATTAAATGAAGGTAAGGGGTAGAAGAAAAGAAAAAAGACAAAATTATTAAGTGATTTTAAAAACAAAGACTGCGTCAATCATTTGGGCTAAGAACAAAGGGGTCACAGTCCACATTTGTCATGTGACAAGCCTGAAGGGTGGGGGTGCAGTACAGTTGCCAGCATAGGGTTGAAAAGGAGGTCATTCCAACAGGATGCAGCAGAAGGCCCGAGGCGACGTTATAAATGAAACAAACCCCGAGGGACAGTCTGTGAGCTGACAGAAATGTCTTCCATAATTCACAACTTCTCGAAGGTGATAGCATTCTCTTTCCCCAAATAGTGGCTTAGAAAGTCAATCTTTTTTGATCTTGAATACAAATATATGTCTAGCATTTTCATTTCCTTGTGTATCATTTAGGAAAGCCACAATTCATGATGACTTGGTCAGCATAATGGGCCGCCTCTCGCCATCCACAGTGAAGAGAACAGAGAGCACCCTGGTGACTACACAAGCACTGCATCTGCCTTTTCACGACGTCTTCGATTTGCCTTCATCCCACCAAGTCCCTTGCATGAGGATCAATCAGCTGACATGTGGTCACATCACACTGTAATGCCTCGGAACACTAATGTAGTTAGAGGTGAAGTACTGAAAACAAAAGCCAGCTCTTGTCACAAGGCACTGTTCATTTCTGCAACAGTTTTATATTTTTTACCACCATTTGGGGGAAGGGGTACCAGGAATTGAACTCACGACCTCAGGTTTGCCAGGGAAACACTTAGGCCACTAAGCTAGATGAAAATATTTTTTAATCTGGACTCTTCATCTGTAGGAAAAGAGGGTGGGCGAATGTAAGATGAAAGAATTCGCTTATCAAGCACCCAACACATGTCCTAGGAAGCCTCAGCAAACTTCACTACTAACATACTCCAACACTGCCAGGTCAGTCAACACTCATTAAAACTTCTAAGGATGTCTTTGCTTTCATAAGAAAAAATAAACTGAGCATCATTAGTTATTGGTTTTAGAGAAACAGCACTGTTTTAAGAATGAAACTGAGCAACTAAAAGTAATCGGTCATCCTGGTTTTTCTCCCTTTAACTTAAGAGTGTCGATGTTATGAAATACACCTTGAAAAGCTTTTCTATACTTCTTTTTCCACGTTTCCTTAAGTCAGATTTCTGCTTTACTATGTTAGAAGCAGAAACAACAGGATTAGGAACTCAGTGGCTTCCTGACTCCTGCTGAGGTTCTGTGGCTTCATATTGTACCTGTCTCCCAGTGGATCATCCAGGGTAACTGAGCTTCACACGAGCCCATGTTCTGACCCAACTCAAAATCAGCTGGGTACCGGACTCCTCCTATGGGTGAGGAACCAAGCTAGGCAGCACATGGTAAGCGTCAGTTGTCAACTTCATAAGCAATTTTCAACAAATTACTTAACTCTCTGTGCTCTAGTTTCCTGGCGTGTAAACCAGGGATAGGAATTACCTTTTAAAGCTGGTTATAAGATTGGTTTGAACACTGGTGCACACTGTACATCTTGGTCCTTATCATCAGAGTGAAGTCACTCAGTAGAAGGCAGTGAATGTGACTGCAGCTCCAGAAGTTTCTTCCTCATACCAGTTAAAATGTCTTGTCTACATTCCTATTTTTTGAGTTCTTGTTAAATCTCTGGCTAACTTAAGGAAAATAATTCACGCTGTCACACTTATCTTGTGTTACACGATCTTGGATCTTATCTCAGTGAATTTTTAAAATTTTAGTAGAGCCCAGAATGCTTAAAGCTAAGAAGCAGATGAAAGCCATTTCAGCTATGTGGCAGGTGGATGAAAGATAT